CTGGGTAAGAAGACCACTGATACATGCTGTAGGGGACATAGTACTTGCTGTCTTTGTGACGGACAGGCGGGGCACCTCTGTGTACTCGGCCGACCCAGAAGTCCCGCACGCTTCTTTGCTCCATCTCCCTTAAGTACCTGACTAAGTTGGGCATGTGGATGAAGACGTCGTCATCAGCAGACATGAGGAAGTGGGCGTGGTTGCAGTAAGAATAGGCCCAATGGAACTGTAGCAACAACTTGATGGTCAGGTTATGGAATGTATCGGCGAAGTCCTGCTGTACTAGGTCTTGGTACATCTGGTCCTCTTTGAGTAGGGCAAGCTGGGTGCTCTCTCGCTCCTTGGGGTAATGGTGGATACCTAAGGCAAAAAGAACCCTCACATTCGCCCTGAGTTCTTGCTGTACATAAGTCTCATTCCCCCAGGTGGAGCGGATGGACATGCGCCTACGTAAGTTCTTGGGTGAAGATTTCACAAACAGCAGCAGCAGCACATCCCTATTTGTGCATTTGTGCTCATGGTTGATCAAGTAATGATAGCTGTTGGTGCTTTTGGCATCCTGACCGCTGACGGTGAAGCTTCTGTTGAGGAAGTCAAAGCTGTTGACTAAAGAACGGTATGAGTAAGACTTTGCGTGGCTCGTAACACTGTAATCCAGCTGTTCCCAACACACCATAACCACAGACAGGATGAACAATGTTGTCACCAGCTGTATGCATCGACACTTTCTAATCCTTCTGAAATTCATAGACATCTTGCAGTCTTACAGCCTTTTGCTGTCAGGTCCAATTGGAAGTGCTTGAAAGGGAGTCAATGCAATACTTGGAATGAATCAAATCACAAGCTGATTTGAATTCCATATTTTCAATCCTGTGAGAAACAGGGGACATGGGTTCCTTAGTGAAACTGGCATTGACTCATTTTGACTCTTATGAAGCAGTCGTGATAATCACCTCTGTGGTAATCTTGTATATCGGGTGGGTCTTGTTGCAGTCTCACTGGCTTAAAGTTTGGGGTCGTGAGATTTCAAGCAACCCGTGGTTCTGGAAAAAGATGAGAATACATTTGGGTTATTCTCTGAAACTGGTACCTAAAAGTGGGACACAGCGGTGAAAAATTCAAAATACCAAAATTCAAGTGTATTTCAGTGCACTTACATCTAGATTTACCATAGATTCATGAGCAATTGCTATAAAGACAGTATGAGAGCTATTTCATGCACATAACAGCACATTTATTAGTAATGAACAGGGAAAAATCCGTATGTAAGCTGGACACCAAACTAACAGTAGAAGAAGTCAAAGGAAAACTTTGAAAATGGATTCAACACATACACATCACAACACTTTGTTAAGAAACAACACTACTACTGAAAATTCAGAAAAAAGGACGGAAAAGTTTGCAATAAAAATAAAAATTTCAACATGGCGAGTCAGTTAATTGGGCAGATTTTGACCATCTAAAATTTGAAACTCTTTCACAAGGACACATCAATGTAAAATCTGTCTAATGCCACTTTACTGTGTCCCATTTGTCACCCTCAAATAGTCTTATCTTGTTCAACAGTAAAAAATGGTTCATCTTCACACAGCTTGCCAGTATTTGGAGATGTTCCGTGTGTAACATGGACACCAGGTAGCACTGTGTCTCTCTGTAGTTCTGTTAGGTACGGAACAACATTGAGGAATCTGTTTTGATATTTCAAATGACAAATTAATTTCGTTCTGCATAAGAAGTGAACTATAAAAACAATGAAAAAAAATGAGATTTAACCAAAAAAGAATGTGAACAACCAGTGGTGTGTGACAAAGTTTGATCCGTTCGTAACACAGACAATGCATAGTGATGTCCACTACACTGAGAAGTGCATTCTCATCGGCCAGACATGCGAGGAAAACATTGGCATAATTCACCAAATGTTCCACTTTTCCACAGACATCAACAGAGGTGTATATAGTACTGGAAAAAAATAACTAAGTAAAAGTAGAAGTACCATAAGTGAAAGTTACTTTGGTAAAAGTTGAAGTCACCCATAAGAAAATTACTTGAGTAAAAGTCTTAAAGTAGCTCACATTAAATGTACTTAAGTATATTTTTTTTTCACAAGATACTTTCAGTACTTAAGTATCAAAAGTGCACAAAGTATTTTTCATAGTATGCATAGAAAGAGGCAAAGCAACCATGAATTGTTCTTTCCTCGTGCTCTTTAATCAATTTTCTGGTGAATGAAAGATACAGTATTCAAAAAACAAACAGGCAGTCTCTCCTTTATATACTTCTTCTTTTTCTTCTACTTCTTCTTCTTCGAGTTTACTGGCAGTTTAAAAAACAACTATACAGTGCCGTGAAAAAGTATTTGCCCTGTACCTGATTTCTTATTTTTTGCATATTTCTCAAACTTAAATGTTTCAGATCATCAAACAAATTTTAATATTAGACAAAATAACCCGAGTAAATACAAAATGCAGTTTTTAAATGATGATTTCATTTGTTTAGGGAAAAAAGCTATCCAAACCTACCTGGCCCTATGTGAAAAAGTAATTGCCCCCTAAACCTAAACCCACCCTTGGCGATAACAACTGCAATCAAGTGCTTGAGATAACTGGCAATGAGTCTTTCACATTGCTGTGGAGGAATTCTGGCCCACTCTTCTTTGCAGAATTGTTTTAATTTAGTCACATTGGAGGTTTTTCAAGCATGAACGGCCTGTTTAAGGTCATGCCACAGCATCTCAATAGGATTTAAGTCCGGACTTTGAATAGGCCACTCCAAAACCTTCATTTTGTTTTTTTTAAGCCATTCAGACTGACAGTCAGTTTCTATGGGTGGATAACCCTGACACCATTACTCTGGACGTCACCTTCTTTTATATATCTCAATTTCTAAGGTATTCTACAAGCCTCAAATTCATTGCTTGAACACTGTCTCAAAGGTTTATATCAAGTTCATGGATGAAATGCTTCAAACTGCTAATGCTGTAAAGTGCATACTATAGACCACAGACTGAACTAATCTGCTGTTGTGTTGTGACTAGAAACACCTCCCAAAAGTTGAAACTGTTGAGGCTAAAGATGAGTCTCGATGCTACAACAGCTAACCAAATCAATCCCCAGTTTCAAAAAATTTTCTAATGATGGAAGGGGGGACACCCCCCTTCCATACCATCCCCCCAGCACTGTCTGCCAGACCAATATGAAATTGCTTCCTACACCCCTGATATGGCCATGACATCACCAGCCACTCTCTGGAACGACCCAGATGCCAGGACCAACAGCGCAGTTGTGACCTTGATGACCACGGGTATGTTTTGCGGATAATTGCTGTTAATGGCTGTTCATCAAGAAGTCGGCAAAGATAGATGATTGCCTCACGGTCCAGACGAAAGCGTTGGATGCACTTGGTGTCAGTTATTCCCAGGATGTCCAAACGAGGCCGATATATGCGTGGTCATCTTCGAGCTCGGCGCGCTCCTCTTACTCTTTCCCACTCACGCAAGAGTGCAAGCAAATGCAGGACTGGCATTTTGGTTTTAGATTTTGAGGGCATGGTAGAATGATGGTCTTATTTATACGCGTATTAATGAATTGCTATGTGTTTGTAATTGAACTAATTGGAGAACAGGCTGTTGCGTAATATCATGTGATGATTTTGTTTGATAATTTTTTATGGTTATGAGAAATGTAGTTTAGAAATAAGGATGAACAATCAAATATTGAATGTCTCAACCTTTACCAAGTTAAATAAAATAAAATAAATGTTAAAATTCGGCCTATAACCGACATCAAATGTAATATTCTATTTCGCCTCATGTTGGCGCTTGACCTTAATACAGCCCTCAAAAGTGCTTAACAGAAAAAGCGCGTAAGCCAGGGGGAGAATACGCATGAGTGTTATTTGCCTGAGAAACGCCTAGATTTTGGCCTTTGTCCGCCCGAAGGCGCGAACTGCCTTCGGGGCGCGTAATGCACAGACTTAAGTCAAGGGGAGAATACGCGTAGGCTGAAAAGCGCGTAGCTACGCACTTTTTTCGACTTACGCGCATGGGAGAATAGACCCCAAAGTGCTTAAAGCTGTAGTATACGATCTGAGAATCAGTTGAGAAAGATTGAGACGTTGAGAAAAATTTGGAAAAAGCATCCTGCCCACACACACACACCCCTCCCCTCTGTGCTCCCTGATCCTTCCCACCGAGCACGTGTGGCCGTCCGCGTGGAGACTCCCAGACACACCCCCTCTACCAGAGCAACAAGCCGGCCGGCAGTTTATAACGCGGAAGGGGGCGGGGACGAGGCGGAACGTGGAGCATGGGGAGTCAGAGCAAGCTCTCGGGGGAGTGTCAACTAGAGCGCGGGGATTGGATGAGAGTAGGAGAGAGATGTTGACCAATGTAAGCCGTCCGGCCGGATGGTTAACCATCTGTTAACCATCGCTAGCATTTGTTTCTAGTTTGCCGTTTATTCAAGTGAATGGGATAAATAATTTGCTAGCTAGCATGCTAGCGCTTTCGCCATTAAAGTAAGCTTTTTGCCATTAAAGTCATAAGTTATGGGTTACTGTTATCATATAAACTTGAATTTATTAATTTAACGGCGAAAAGTATTAGCATGCTAGGTAGCTAATTATTCATCCTATTGACTCGAACAGACTGCCCACTTGAACCTAGCGTTTTTTTTTTTATTTTCCAAATAATACGACGCTGACATTTATGGGATAAATAGAAACTCAAATTCGTGAGCCCAAGATATCAAATTTATGAGACTCAAGCGGCAATTTTCATTTATTCTTTGCCGAAGGCTCAGAATAAATGATAATTACTATCGTTTCATAAATTTGATATGTCAGGCGCACTCATTACAGAACCTCTTTTGTGTATATATATATATATATATATATATATTTTTATATATATATATATATATATACAGTATGCTCCAAAATTACTGGCACTCCTGACTGGCAATGCGCAGAAAATTCTTTAAAAAATTCTAATAAAGGAGAGCTGCTGGATAGCTCACTTGGTAAAGCATCCCATTGCAAAGTAGAAGTGACTATCACGTCGCGGGTTCGATCCCCCCCTCATACCAACCGGCAGTGGTCGGCAGCTTTTACCGAGTAGCGCACAATTGGCTATTGCGCTACAGGGTTGCAAATTGGGAAGGGACTGCCGGGAAGGGAAAATAATAGTTGCTTTGTTCATTGCTCGAGCGCCTCCTGTTGGCCAGACGGGCGCTCGTCAGGAAGATTCTAAGCCTGTTCATCTCCGGGTATCCTCCGCCCTCGCTCTAAACTTGCGAAGATTCAACCAATGAGTGTATAAGAAGCGGTGGCTGACAGGCGTGTACTTCAGAGGAGAGCCGCGAACTGTCTAAACTCTCCTGAAATGGCAGCAAGGGGTCGCATACGAGCAAGCCTTGTACATAGTTCACCAATTGCGCATTCCAGATTCGGGTGGGATTGGAGATGCCAAATTTAAAAAAAAAAAAGTATATATAGAGAAACTCTAAATAACAACATGCGAGAAATACTGTGCTATATTAATGTTCCACTGGAACCAACCAAAATCATCTACTGATTTAATTAAAAATCAATTTCCTCCAAATCAAGGTATCACAATTAATGGCACCCTTAAAGATTATTGTAAATAACAACTACCAAAATTAAACCAGGTATTACAACCCCAATTCCGAAATAGTTGGGACAAAGTGTAAATTGTGAATAAAATAAATCTGCAATGACTTTCAAATCACACCAGCCAGTATTTTATTCACAATAGAACAGAGATAACATAGCAAATGTTGAAACTGAGAAATTTCACAATTTTATCCACAAAATAAGCTTATTTCAAATTTGATGGCTGCTACAGGTCTCAAAAAAGTTGGGACAGGGGCCTGTTTACCATGGTGTAGCACCTCCTCTTCTTTTTAACACAGAGTGGAGGCGTCTGGGCATTGAGGAGACAACTTTCTTGAGTTTAGCCATTGGAATTTGATCCCACTCTTGTTTAATACAGGCTTCCAGCTGCTGGAGAGTTTTGGGTCTCCTTTGACGGACTTTTCGTTTAATTAAGCGCCAAATGTTCTCAATCGGTGAAAGATCAAGACTGCAGGCAGGCCAGTTCAGCACACAGACTCTTCTGCTACGAAGCCATGCTGTTGTAATAGCTGCAGTATGTGATTTTGCATTGTCCTGCTGAAATACATAAGGCCTTCCCTGGAATAGATGTCGTCTGGAGGGGAGCATATGTTACTCTAAAACCTTTATATACCTTTCAGCATTCATGGTGCTTTTTAAAACATGCAAGCGTCCCACACTATATGCACTAATGCATCCCCATACCATCAGAGATGCTGGCTTTTGAACTGAACACTGATAACAGGAGGGGTGGTCTTTCTCCTCTTTAGCCTGGAGGAAACAACGCCCGTGATTTCCAACAAGAATGTCAAATTTGAACTCGTCTGACCACAGGACACTTTGCCACTTTGCTACAGTCCATTTTAAAGGAGCTTTGGCCCACAGAACATGGCGGCGCTTCTGGATCATGCTCAACAATGGCTTCCTTTTTGCATGATAGAGTTTAGGTGGCATCTGTGGATGGCACGGCGGACTGTGTTTACAAACAGTGGTTTCTTGAAGTATTCCTGGGCCCATTTAGTAATGTCAATGACAGAATCATGCCGGTGAGTGATGCAGTGGCGTCTGAGGGCCCAAAGATCACGGGCATCCAGTAAAGGTCTTCGGCCTTGTCCCTTACACACAGAGATTTTTCCAGTTTCTCGGAATCTTTTGATGATGTTATGCACTGTCGATGATGGGACCTTCAAAGCCTTTGCAATTTGATGTTGAGGAACATTGTTTTTAAAGTATTCCACAATTTTTTTACGCAAGACTTCACAGGTTGGAGAGCCTCTGGCCATCTTTACTTCTGAGAGACTCAGCCTCTCTAAGACATCCCTTTTATAGCCAATCATGTTACAAACCTGATGCCAGTTAGTTGCCAAATGTTCTTTCAGCTGATCCTCTTATATATACTATTCAAAAAAAAAAGGGGATATTTTATTTTGAGATGAAAATTTTCACATATACAAAGGGATACGAAACCATGTTGTATAGTTCCTTACTGAGGAAGCATTTCCAAAGAAATTCATCACCCAAACACATCAATGACACTCTCACGATCTGCACGGGATGCTATTGATGATCAAGGGGGTTGTGCCACAAATTTGCATGACTCTGAATTGGAAGGTTAGAGCCACTGTAAAGGAAGATTTTGAAGAGAAAGCATCAGATTATCAGTGGTTGAAGTCCTTAATTAAACAGAGACCATGCGCCGTCTAACACAGGAGGAGAGGTTACGTGCCCTTGGCATGCTACAGGTTGGCACAAGACAGGTCGTTGTGGCAAGGGCAATGAATGTTTCCCAGTCTGTCATCAGCAGATTATGGTCCAGACATCGTGCTACAGGGTCTGTTCAGGATAGACCACGATCCGGTCGACCAAGGGCAACAACTCAGCCTCAGGACAGATTCATCCGCACTATTGTCTTGAGAAATCGTATGGTAACAGCAAATCAGATAAGGTCTCAACTTCAAAGGGATACTGGCTTGGTAGTGAGTGGCCAGACCATCAGGAATCGTCTGCACAGATTTCACTTACACGCCCGACGTCCTCGTGTCATTCCCTGTTTGAGGGATCGTCACATTAGGGCCAGACTCAATGGTGTCTTCATCATCAACGCTGGGATAATCGCCCGATGGAACAACGTAATGTTCTCAGATGAGTCGAGGTTCACTGTGGACTTCCTTGACAGACGCAGGAGGGTTTGGCGCCGACGTAACGAATGTTTCCATGACGTTAACGTCATTAGACATGATCCGTATGGGGGTGGATCTGTAATGGTGTGGGAGGCATCACTGCTGCCGGCAGAACAGACTTGCATGTTGTTGCTGGACGTGTCACAGGGCAGTACTACGGGACAACATCTTGGCACCCCATGTTGTGCCGTTTGCACGTCGTTATGGCCGCCGTTTCATTTTCCAAGATGACAATGCCAGATGTCATAGGGCCAGGATCGTTACAGATTACCTCCAGCAGCAGAATATCACCACATTACCATGGCCAGCACTCAGTCCGGACCTTTCCCCCATCAAGCATGTCTGGGACATGCTTGGACAGCGGCTACGCCAACGTCAACAACCTCCTGCCTATGTCCAAGAACTTGCTGCAGCATTGCAACAGGAATGGAATAACGTTCCCCAAAATGACCTGGGACGTCTCGTTAGGAGTATGCCACGCCGAATTCGAGCTTGTCTAGCCAACCGAGGGGGTTTTACCCGCTACTGACTCTGTTTCACAATGGTGGTAAATTTGCTGTGTGACCCTGTGTTTGTGTTAGACCCTTATTCTGGAGAATCTGTCCTTTACTGACTGTACACAGGGTTTGAATAAATTGACAAATGTTTCCTTAATGTTTTTATGTCATTTGTTTCCTTCCTGACCTCATGATCTGCATTTCATGGTACTTGTAAATCCAATATCCCCTACTTTTTTTGAATAGTATATTAATTGCTTTTTCAGCCCTTTTTTGCCTGTGTCCCAACTTTTTTGAGACCTGTTGCAGCCAGAAAATTTGAAATAAGCTCATTTTTTGGATAATAATGTAAAATCTCTCAGTTTCAACATTTGAAATGTTATCTATGTTCTCTTGTAAATAACATATTGGCTCATGTGATCTGAAAGTCATTGCATTTTGATTTTATTCACAATTTACACTTCATCCCAACTATTTCAGAATTGGGGTTGTATATTCAACTTATTTAAGTTTCATCTAAGTGTCAAGGAACCATATAGTGCCATTAAATCACTTCCTGTTTCACTAGGGTATAAAAATGAGGTAACACACATGCAATGTCCCTTTGTCATTCAACACTATCAAAAAAAAACAAAACAACTGTCAGTTCAAAAGAGGCAGATGGTCATAGACCTTCATAAATCTGGTAATGGCTGCAAGAATATTCACAAATTATATCCTGACTGAGTGACTGAGCACTGTCAGGCCAATTATTTTTAAAAATTCCAAAGATATGGAATGTTGAAAATCTCAAGCATAGAGAATGCAACTGCATTGCTCATTGCTCACCTTGAGTACTGGCTGCTGCTGTCCTGATCCGGTCCTGATCCAGTTCTGCACCATCCTCGACATGCCACTTCCTGGAGCTACCAATGCCACTGTTTAGATGGACTTTAATGGAACTCTATTGCCATTTTATTCTATGATTACTTTATTTTGTTATTAATTAGCTAGCTGGCGGAGGATGGGCTTCCCCACTATAGGTTAGGGTTCCTCCTAAGATTTCTTCCCACTGGACAGTTTTTTCTCACCACTGTTTGAGGATTTTTCTCCTTACTGGGAGTTTTTTTTGCCTCATTTGCTGTAGTGGGGAATAGGCTGGGCACTGCCCTTTCATTTACTGAATCTCTCACTGTAAAGCGTCTTTGTGACAGTCTATCTGTGAAAAGCGCTATACAAATAAATTGAATTGAATTGAATTGAATTTGGCCCCCCTGGATCCTGAAGAGGATGGTGAGAGAAGCAACAAAATCCCCAAGAATCACTGAGATTCAAAAAACACCATCAGGCGCCACCTCCACAACCACAGGGTCTCTGAAAGGGTCGCCAAAAGAAAGCCTTTTTTGACCAGAAGACACAGAAACAAGCACTTGGAGTTTAACAAATGTAATTTAAATTATGACTGGAACAAGAAGCTTTCGTAAGTCGAGGCCAAAATTGCACGTTTCAGTCAGATACAGCATTGGCATGTTTGGTGAAGCATCTCATACCCACGGTAAAATATGATGGTAGGTCAGTCTTGTTTCGGGGCTGTTAATTCAAGAAGTCCAGGGGCACTGGATAAGATTAAAGGCATAAGGAATTCCTCAAAGTATCAGAATATTTTAGCTGACAACCTGGTTGCCTTCGCCAGAAGGCTGGGATTTGGCCGTAGGAGGACTTTCCAAAAAGACGATGATCCAAAGCATACCTCAAGATCCACACAGAAATGGTTCTGTGACAACAAAATCAACATTCT